CCCCAAAACCCCAAAACCCCAAAACCCCAAAACCCCAAAACCCCAAAACCCCATTTTAATAATTCGGTATTGATATTAATTAAAAATGCAAACCATAGTAAGCGAGTCAATGCCAAAGAGCCTTAAAGGGTTCAGACAAGCTAAAAGGTTCAAGAAAGCACATTGAGAAGTGAATGAATATGTTGAAATTTCTCATAAGATTCCATTTACAAGATTAAAGCTCCAGTTCCCTGACTTAAATGAAGAGGTACTGCTTAATTTCAACAAATAAGTCAACTTATGTGCTATTTTTGATCAAATTTCTGGAAAATTTTACTTAAATCTACTAAATTTTATCTAGTATTCGGACATATTTGAATGAACTTTTTAATATATCTTCAGAAATGCATGAAGAATTGAGCGAGTTTGTCTAATTGATGAAGCAAGATCATTATATATTATAGAGCTTACAAACCCTCCTTGAAGAGTGTGATAATGACATGATGAAAGCCATTAATAGCCTGAATAAAGGGAAGAGTTCGTCATTTAACTGTAATCCATTCCACAAAAATCAAGAGCATTCCTCAAACTTTGATCCCTCTGGCAACTTTGGTAAGCCTATTTCTTTATCTCATAGAAGTCAAGAGAAAGAGAAGGTTTAACGAGATCAGTGTTGACTCTACTTTTGCGAGTCAAGCTCCTAGTCAGGTTGGTAATATAGGTCAAAAGATACCTTTTACTGAAAATAGTAAATAAAATCGAGCAAATTATTGAAGATTTCTCATCAGGCCTACTCTTCAAGTTAAAGAGTAGCTGGGATGAAGAAAATGCTCTAAGCTTGATCAAGAATAGCTTGAGTAACTTTGCTGATCAGATTAATACTTCAACATCCTCATCTTTCCATAAAGCTAAGAGTACAGAGGGGAAAGATTTTGAGGAGAAAAGAAAGATTATCTCAGACACAATAAAGAAGCTTATGAAAGACAATGTCGCTCTGAAGAAAGGCATCAGGATTTTATGCAAAATGAATGAAGAAAATGACCATAAAACCTCTCAGTTTGATAATCTAGCAAGAGAGTATCAGAGATTGAAAGAAGAGAACCAGAAGCTAGAGAGAGGGCTTAACTTCTACAAGTATGCCAATGGCGGTCCTCAAGGATGCAATGATGGAGTCTTTAGTAATTCTAATAATTACGGGAACAACGGAGGGTCAGGAGCTTATTAATTAGCCAATCTTGCTCTTATTTTAGAGCAACTGTAACTTTATTCAGTGATACTAATTTTGTTACTCAATAATTTTTAATGAAAAGGGGTTTTGGGGTTTTGGGGTTTTGGGGTTTTGGGGTTTTGGGGTTTTGGGG